GAGTGGCAGGGCTATGCCGGATCTGTGGAAAAGTACCGAACTCCCTTAGGGGCTGGACTGGAAGAGCCGAGGCAGGAGGCAGGAGGCAGGAAGGAGAAGGGAGGAGGGAGGAGGGTCTGGTGTGTGGGGGCCCGGAAGGCACAGGCTGACTGTTCCAGGGACCAGGATGCACCAGCACACAGCCTGCCAGACGGAAGAGGAAGGAAGGGGGGGGGGTCAGGGAGAAAATGTTCCTGCTGCTCTGGAGGGGGTGTCTGGGGAGGAAGGAGCCTGTCACCTGGGCCCCCTGGGCCCCCCATCCCCTGCTTGCCACTTGCCAGCTCAGTGGGCTGGGCACTTGTGCCCACCTCTCAGGACCTCTGCCTGGGGATGGAGATGCCTTTGTGGGAAGTTAAAAAAGAACAGCTGTGTCCTGGTTTCTCCACTTTTCTTAGCCTCCCCCTTTCCCTACCCCAGGCCTTTGCCTCCTTCTTTGGTCTCCTCCCTCCTCCAGTCCCAGTGCATCCCTGTGCCCTCTGTGGAGTCTGGGAGTCTCACCCCTCAGCTCCCGGCTTCTGTCTCCCCCCCACCACTCAGCCCCATGTGGGCCAGATGTGGGCAGTGGAGGAGGCTGGAGGTCACTCCTCACAGGGCCAGTGGGGGGAGTAGTGTCCTTCCTTCCCCAGCAGCTCACCCACACATCAGCCCTATTTCAACTTCTGAAGGCAAAGGGGGCTGGTGGAGAGAGGAAGCGCCCAGAACCCTCTCCTGAGGGGCCCAGGGGGCGCCACCTACTCACCTCTAGTCCCAGACATGGCCATGGCGCTGTGAGGAGGGGCTCATAGCAGGAGGAGCTGGGGTGGTGTTCAGGCTTCCAAGACAGCTCCCTGCAGCCCCCAGCCCCAGCACTGCCACCCCTGCTGTAGATGGAAAGGTAAGGCTTAGGTGAGCAGCCACTTAGTCTCTGCCTAGGGAAGGATAGAAAAGGGTGCTTTCCTCAGTTCCTCAGGACCCCTGCCAAGCACCTGGGAAGCCCTACTTGTGCGAAGGAGGTGACAGCCAGAGCTGGAGGGGCTGGGAGCCAGCTGTGGCCCCTTAGGCCAGAACAGCAAAGGACACCAGGCATAAAGATGTGGACGGAGGCTGCCCATTGGAGCCCTTGGCAAGGAGCTGCAGTGGCCTCCCTGGGGACCCAGGGCCAGCCTGGTCCTTCTCCCCCAGCCCCACTGGGGAGGGTGTGGTGTTGGAATGAGGCTAGGTGACCCGGAGTGACCCCGGAGAACAGCAGGACTGGGGAGCCTGAACCATAGGGCTGGGCAGGAGATTCTACAGGTCAGCCAGAGCGAGGGGCAGAAAATCTGTACACCTCAAGGTGATGGGGCAAAGGGCAGATGACAGCAAGAGGGCCCCAGGTCACCACTGTACCCCTCCCTGCTGCCCCAGCTGCTTGCTCAAGGAAGACAAGGTGGGGGTCCCCACAGCTCAGACCAGTAGGGGCAACAGAAGCCCTGGAGAATGTTGTACATGTGTGTATGAGTGCAAACAGGTGTGTTCCATATGTGTGCATACACATACATGTGAGTGTGCATGGGTGGTCAGGTGGGGGAGGGCACTCTGCCCCGAAGCAGCTGCCCTCGCCCTCAGCTGCTCAGTGCCTACTGTAGGTAGGGGTTGGGGAGGCATTAGTGGGCCAGACCCCCGTTCTCTGGCCGCAGCCACCCCTGTGAAAACTCTGGCAGTCAGTGGAGCACAGGATGGTGGGTGCCAACCAGGCTGTGTCCAGGCCCTTGGAGCCAGGCAGGGATGGCTGAAGCCACCACAAGGGGGCCAGGGAACTTGTTAGGGAACTTGTGCTCTGAGGAGCAGGGTGGAGGTTCAGGGGAAAGGATGTGCTGTTAGGTATCCTTTGTACTTGCGGGGGCCAAGGCTGTCCATGAGCACCTGGGAGACAAGCATGAGTCCGTCAGGATGTCACAAGTCACCAAGCAGTTTCAGGCATGGGGTAGAGAATCAGGACAGGGAGGCTGGAGAGGCCTGAGACTGGTGGGGCGGGCTCCATGAGACTGTGCACTGGGGAGGGAGACCCCAGGCTGAATCGGGTGTTGCTGCAATCCTGGACCAGAATCTGGGGGCAGGAAGCCTGGAGCCCTGGGGAAGAGGCCAGAACAGAGAGCCATTTGCATCAAGGCTGCTAGATCTTAGTGCCGTGCATGCCCTTGTGGTCGCCCTGGCCTGCCCCTTTGCCTGCAGGACCTCTCTTTCTCTGGTCCTCCAGAGTCCTGCTCTGAGCCCTCCAGACCTCCAAAAACAGACCTGCTTGGCCCTGTGAGCATGGGACCTCTGGTTCCCTCTCTGCACAGGCCCAGCCCCCAGCCCCTAACCCCTCCCCAGCAGACCGGCACTCAGCCCCAGCCCCTCTAGTCAGGAAACAGGCTGGCTGGTGAAGCCGGAGGAGCAAAGGGCCCTCTTATAAGAGGCTTCCCATCCCCATCCCGGGCAGCAGGGAGCCAGCCCAGCCTCCTTCCCAGAGGCAGAAAAATGGAGCCTCAGGCTTCAATGTGGGGGTTTGCTGAGGGCTTCTGGGGTGATAATTGGGCAGCGATTAAGTGTTCCCAGAGCAGCAGCTGTCTCCTGTCACCTGTCACCATGACCCTACGTTCACGGCTTCTGCAGACCCTGCAGGGAGCGGGTGGGGACTCTGTGGGTCCTGGCCTCACTCCTTCCCCTGAGCCTCCCTTCACTCTACAAAGCACCTCCCATAGCAGTGGTGTGGATGGGCAATGGGAGGAGGTGGTGGTGGGCCAGGGTATCCGGGGGGTACCGGGCCACCTCACCAAGGGTCTGGTTTAAGCTGAGCCCTGAGCTGCTCTCTGGACTACCTTGGAAACTCCTCCCTCTGTCCATCCCTGAAAAGGGCTGCTGCTGGCCTTCCAGACCCAGTGTGGCAGTGCGGCACTCCCTGACACAATCACCAAGCTTTGCGTCCCCACGGGCATGGCCCCTGGCTCTTGCACGCATGGACACAGGTCCAGTCTCAAGCTGTCTGGTCAGCCCAACCCCAGAGCAGCTGGCTCCTGTGTCCAGGTGCCTCTGGGCTCAGATGGCCCTGCAGCCTCCAGCTCCTGGGATTCCTCCACGGGAAGGGAAGGTGCCAGTTGGTTCTCAGTCCTGCAGTTTCTCTACCTAGCTCCCCCTCCTAGTGGTGTGCCCCTCCAGCCTCCCTTCTTCATTCGTTCGCCCACTCACCTTTAATTAGAAATGCCAGGAGAGCCATTTTGGGGGAGTTTTTTTTTCCCCAGAAAGACATTCCCCTCAGGGGAGGAAGCCCAGGAGAAGGGGGAGGGGGCAAAGAGAGGAGGGAGGGGCTGATGTGGGGATTCCATTGGGAAGGAGAACAAGACAGGCGGGTTGGGGGCTCTGGGGATGTGTGTACATGCAGGGCTCTGAGTGGGGGATGAGTGTATGCCAGTCCCTGAGTGGGGGCTGTGAGTATATTCAGGGCTCTGAGTGGGGGTTGAGTGTGGGCAGGGGTCTGAGTGAGGAATGAGTGTATGCAGGGGTCTGGGTGGGGGTTGAGTGTGGGCAGGGGTCTGAGTGAGGATGAGTGTATGCAGGGCTCGGGGTAGGGGATGAGTGTATTCGAGTCGCTGAGTGGGGGGATGAGTGTATGCAGGGATCTGCGTGGGGGTTGAGTGTGGGCCGGGGTCTGAGGGGGAGGATGAGTGTACGGCAGGCCCTGAGTGAGGGGTATGAGTGTGTATGTGGGGCTCTGTGAGGGGAGTGTGGGGTGCATGAGTGTGCAGTGTGCCTGTGTTTGAGAGAATGACAGGGAGCAGCAGCAGAGGACATGGTGCCCTGGCTGTCACTGTCACTGCGCATCTGTGGGCCTCTGCCAGGGGTAGTGGTGTCACCTATTCCCAGGTAATATCAGAAAATAAGAGGCCCAGAACCACCCATCCAATCCAGCACTGCAGTAACCCTGGAGGGGCGTCTGCCTCTGTCCCTCCCCTACTGCACACGAGTTGCCAGGGAAGCTGAAGGGGCCTCCCTCCCCAGGGAATCTCAGCTTCCGGAGCCCCATTCCTTATATGGCATCTTGCTTTCCCCTGCCTCTCCCGGCCGCCAGGGCTGCCAGCGCCCTTCTCCACCTCCCTCCTTCTCCCGCTCCTCCCCTCCTCCCTCCCTGTTCCTGACAGAAGTCCTGGAGCCTCTGGCCAGGCTTCGGCTGTGACCTGAGGGCTCAGGCCCAGCACTCTTCACCCTTCCATTGGCTAAATGACCCTGCACCTCCTCTGACACCCCTTTACCGCCCCCCCCCATCTCTGTAGCCAAGTAGCAACTTCCAAATACCCCGGGGCCTAAATGAAGTCCTGGGCCTCACTCACCAATGGCCTGGCTGTGGGGCACTGCGGAGTTCAGTCCAGCCACATCCAGTCCCTGTGTCAACAACCGCACCCATGCGGGGGCCCAGGCAGAGCCTCAGATGGGTGTTCATCCTTCCCACAGAACCAGAGGATAGGCCAGGCTCTGGACTTGGCCCCGCGGGCAGGGGTGGGAGGACACTGGGTGGGTGTAGACTCCCTGGCCCCCTATCTGAAGGCAGAGGGGCCTGGAGGGGAGGGTCTGCTAGGGCTCCCCACCAGTGGTCCATCCTGTAAAGCCAGGCTGGGCAGGGGCAGGGCAGCAAGGACCCAGAAGAGCAGTGTCCAGCGGGCCCCTCTTTTGGGAAAGAGATCATGAGGCTCTGGGAGGGGGCACCAGTTAGCCACCTGCCTTTGCCCGCCCTCGCTGCAAAGACGTGGCAAAGTCCCCCAGGCTGAACAAGCCAGCCTGGTGGGAGGCGCGCGGCAGCATTAGTCACCCCGAGTGTGCAGGGGGCGGGCCCTAGCTTGCTCTGAGCCCCGGAGGTGAGAGTGGGCGAGGGAGGCGGGGCCTACGGCGGGCGGGGCGCGGGCTGCCAATGGGAGCCGGCGCGGGGAGAGAAGCCGCCCACGGCCGCGGGCTGCATAAAGCGCCGGTGGCGGCGGCTCGGCGCAGAGCTCGGCAGAGTTCCCAGCACCTGCCAGCTTCCTGCTGATCAGACCGCAGCGCCTGCCGCCCTGCAGTCGCCGGCCGCTGCGCCTGTCCGAGCGCCACTGCCAGTCCCCGCCAGTTCGGAATCCCACCGCCAGCGCTCAGATGGAGCTGGACCACAGGACGAGCGGTGGCCTCCACGCCTATCCCGGGCCGCGGGGCGCGCCAGCGGCCAAGCCTAATGTGATCCTGCAGATCGGTAAGTGCCGGGCCGAGATGCTGGAGCACGTGCGGAGGACCCACCGGCACCTACTGGCCGAGGTGTCCAAGCAGGTCGAGCGCGAGCTGAAGGGGCTGCACAGGTCGGTGGGCAAGCTGGAAAACAACCTGGACGGCTATGTGCCCACGGGCGACTCGCAGCGCTGGAAGAAGTCCATCAAGGCCTGCCTTTGCCGCTGCCAGGAGACCATCGCCAACCTGGAACGCTGGGTCAAGCGCGAGATGCACGTGTGGCGAGAAGTCTTCTACAGGCTGGAGAGGTGGGCGGACCGCCTCGAGTCCATGGGTGGCAAGTACCCGGTGGGCAGCGAGCCGGCCCGCCACACCGTCTCTGTGGGTGTCGGGGGTCCCGAGAGCTACTGCCACGAAGCTGATGGCTACGATTACACCGTCAGCCCCTATGCCATCACCCCTCCGCCTGCAGCTGGTGAGCTGCCGGGACAGGAACCAGCTGAGGCCCAGCAGTACCCACCATGGGAGCCAGGAGAGGACGGGCAGCCAAGCCCTGGAGTGGACACACAGATCTTCGAGGACCCACGGGAGTTCCTGAGCCACCTGGAGGAGTACCTCCGGCAGGTGGGTGGCTCTGAGGAGTACTGGCTGTCCCAGATCCAGAACCACATGAATGGGCCAGCCAAGAAGTGGTGGGAGTTCAAGCAGGGCTCAGTGAAGAACTGGGTGGAGTTCAAGAAGGAGTTCCTGCAGTACAGTGAGGGCACTCTGTCCCGGGAGGCCATCCAGCGTGAGCTAGACCTGCCGCAGAAGCAGGGCGAGCCACTGGACCAGTTCCTGTGGCGCAAGCGGGACCTGTACCAGACACTGTATGTGGACGCTGAGGAGGAGGAGATTATCCAGTACGTGGTGGGCACCTTGCAGCCCAAGCTGAAGCGCTTTCTACGACATCCACTACCCAAGACCCTGGAACAGCTCATCCAGAGGGGCATGGAGGTGCAGGATGACCTGGAGCAGGTGGCCGAGCCAGCCGGGCCCCCACTGCCTGCTGAAGATGAGGCCGAGGAGGCCCTTACACCTGCCCTTACCAGTGAGTCTGTGGCCAGTGACCGGACTCAGCCTGAGTAGAGGGCATCCCAGAGCCCCTGGCCTGCCTGCCACATCCAGCCTGTGGCCTTTGCCAACCAGGACTTGAGCTTTGGCTGACTCACACAGGGGCAGCCCTTGTCTAGCCAGGCCACCTCTAGGCCTCCCGGCCCTGCCCATACAGACACATGGCATCTAGCTGTGTGCAACATCCCAAACAGCAAAGGAGCCCCTCCCCTGAAGGGCTCCTGCCTGTCACCCTCCCCTCTTGTCTGTCTTCCTGGCCCTGGCCCTGCTTGGGCTGGCAAGTGGCTCCACCCTCCCGACTCTCAGGCCATCATAGTCCATCCTCAGCTTCCTCATTCTGCTCCAATGCCTGGGCCCTCTAGACACTCTGAAAACCAAGTGTCCGAAGACAGGGCCCAGTGGGCTCCAAGCCCCTGGGGCACCCAGGGCAGAAGCTAAGGCAGAACCAGTGCCAAAGGAACCTCAACTTTGGAGACGCCACCCCTGGCAGGCACTGCTGAGCCAGCTGACACCCTCCTCGCCTCCAAGAACAGTTGGCCAGCCTTGGGCAGCTTGGCCTTCCTCCCCAGGGAGAGCCAAATCCACAAATGCAACAGCAGCAGCAGCAGACCTGACGTCCTGGCCTTGAGGTGAGTCCCAGGCCCCAGGGCATCTTAGAACTGGGAGGGTCCATGTTGCAGGTTCATTTTCCAAGTAAAACTACTGAGGCTCAGAGGTTTTCCCAGCAAGTTAGCTGCAAGGAAGGCGGGTGGGTGCAGAGTCCCCAAGGAACAGGAGAGGGCTGGGTAGGAGGCAGCACTGGGGGAGCCTGCAGAGTCAGCTCACAGGGACCATGTTCTTTCTCATCCCAGCACAGTGATTCATGGCAACCTGGAGAAGGATCAGAACTCAGTTCCATGACTCACCAGGCAGAGGGTCCCAGAGGGCCTGAATCGTCAAATCTGACTGAGGCAGCAGCCAGAACCTTTGGAGCCAGGAGAATGACAACAGGTAAGGGAGTCCCATCCCTTGTGCCCAAGAGTGTCCCTCATCCATCCTAACCAGACACAAGCCCCTTCTCAGGCCTCAGTTCCTGGGCATTCCCTACCCTTCTGGGCAATCTGAGAGGCTCTTCCTGGATCCCAGATTTCCATCCCATCTGTCACCTACCCCTGTCCTTCCTGTGGGCCCAAATGTAAGCAGGCACTGTTGCTGACAGCCTGGCCTTTTCCTCTTTCCTTCAGGTCTCAAGGCTGTCTCCAGAACTTTGCTGTTGCATCTTGCACTGTCCTCTTCCCTCTCTCGAAGCAGCCTGCACAGAAGTCCCAGGACAGCCGAGAGAGGGCAGCTACGGAGAGGAAGCAGCCCGGCAGAGGGCAGCACCCCAGCTCTACCCAAGAGCTGGTGATGAAGACAGGCCAGCATGAGGGCCAAGGCCTGCCACTATGCCTGCCCCGCTGGCCACCAGCTGCCTACCTCCAGAGCCACTGCAGCTGGAGCGGGGGTCTGCTACCCTGGCATGCCCCCTGCTCGCTGTATGGCCATTGCCTGCTGCCAGAGCCTTTCAGGAGCTCTGAGGCCAGGCCCCAGCTGCTACTCCTGCCCAATGGCTACAAACCCAGCCCCAGGAGAGCCCCAGGCTTCTGTTCCTAGGCAGTCCCAGGCTCTCTGTCCTGCTCTGCTGTTGCCTAGGATGGACCCCTGTCACTGCCCTAGCACCAGCACCCTGGTGCCGGGAGTCCCTGGTGTCTGCAGCCCGAGGAGGTCCTAGTTGGAGGTTCCTCTTTCTGCCTTGCCCACTGTGTTCCAGATTCTGGGGACCAGCTCTGCTGGTCCTCCACCCTGTGCCCCTGCCAGCCCCCACAGATTTTATTTTTTGCACATAAGCCATGACCTTTACTCATTGGCTGGCACCAGCCACACAGAAGCCCTGAGGCCTGGGAAGACCATGGGCACCTCAAGAGGGTGTGACTGCCCCCTACCAGACCCGGCCATGAGTTTCCAGCCAGGATGTGTACCCCTGCCACTTACCTCGAAGACAGGCTCTTTTTTATAAGATTTTGTTAATAAAACACTGAAACTTCTCAGAGTGTTTGTGTTGTTTATCTGAGGTTATTAGTGGGTGGGAGCAGATGTGGGGAGGCTCCCTGGCCTGAGGTGACTTTGAAGCCTCCATGGGTACAGAAAGGGGGCTCAGTCAGGGTCCTAGATCCTGGAAAGGCCCAAGGCCTCCACACCCAGAGACCAGCTCCACCCCCCTCCCCCCAAGCCTGGCTCCCAGCCTGAGGTAGTGGTGCAGGATAGGAGCTGATTTCTGCTGAGCTGAGGACTGTCTCTCAGTGAGACTAGCTGGAGTTCAGGTGGGCAGCAGGGCCTGTGCAGGGTCTCCACTGCCCACACAGCCTGCTCAGGCCCTGTAGTCAAGGTGACATGATCAGTGTAGGAAGGGGACCCTGGCCAGCCCTGGCTGCAGGATGCCGGAGATGGTCTTCCTAAGCCTCATTTTCCTCATCTGCAAAGGGCAGACTATCACTGATACTACCTGTGCCTAGGCCAAGAACTTGGCAAAGAGAGAATTTTGCGGCCTGTGGGAGGTCAGCCTCCCCTGCCTCTGGAGAGGGTGCCAGTTTCCCAAGGGGAAGGAGAGATGGCCTGGTGTTGGTTCCGACCCCTGTACTCATCAGTGTTTGATGGGAAGCAGGACTCAGAGGAGACAGGCAGTGAGAAGGTAGAGTCTCCCCGGGCCAGCAGAAAATCTGCCACGCAGTTGGAACTCTGGGCAGGGCCTGAAGCTGGCATCCACAGGTGGGATTTCTTCTGCAGCAGAGAAGCCTCAGGGCTGCCCCACAGCCTTTCAGCAGGCTGGGTCAGGCCGTCCACATGGTGCAGGATAGTTGTCCTTAAGCCCACAGACCCTGGGCTTTCCTCACCCCACAAACACCCTCAGCACAGTCTCTGGAGTGGGGTTCGAACGGCTGGATGCACCCTGGCTGGCCGGACTATCTCAGCTTCCATGGTCATGAGCAGGTGCCTATCAGCTACCCCTGGCCTCTCAGGTGGGATTGCTGTGTTCAGAGGGGCCAGGCCAGGGCATCAAGGGCATTTTGGGTGGTGCCAGCCAGGCCCAGCAGAGGGGCACCTACTGGGCTTCTGGCCAAAGTGCAGCCCTCCCCACACCTGCCAAGGAGAGAATAGAGCCTGCAGGCCACGGAGAGTAGATCTGGGAGACAGGACACAGAAGGAGCAGCGAGGAGGGCACCTGCCACCAGGAAATATCATCACGCTTGTCCCAGGCCACAATGTGCACTGGATAAAAGGCTGCCTCTTCTTTACTCTCCCCTTTTGCTTTTAAATAATGAAACTGCTGCACAGAGGTAGGAGAAAAGTCAGGGACTAGAGGCAGCACCACTTGCATACACAGCAACCCAAGGAAAGCTGAGGGTTGTCCGTCCGGAAGTCACCCAACCTCATGACTGGCAGGCTGTCCGAGCACCAACGATGGTACAGCTCCATGGCTGTTTCCAAGAAAACAGGTGGAGAGACATGTGGGGGCTGAGGAGCCTACCCCACACCTCCAAATCCCATCACCGCCCTGACCATCTGCCCAGCCAGGTATCACCACTCAGTCTCATCTCCTGACTGCAGAATGGGTAAACTGAGGCACAGAATGAAGTGGTGCTTTCCCAGGACTTTGAAACAGACTGGGGCTGGAGCAAGGGCTCCTAAGGAATGCTGAGGGCTCATCTTGCAGGTCCTGCATGGTGGGGTCTGGCTTAACCCAAGCACTGCCTCAGGGAGCCGGTGCCACAGGCACCTGAGCCACATAGGTGCTCAGGATGTCATTAGCTGCTGCCTCAAAGACTCAGCCAGGGGATTTCCTGTCCTGCAAGGTCAGGCTGAGTGCAGGAATCACATCTGGGTGCTGAGAAACCACAGAAATTGGGAAGTAGGGAGCAGACCCTCATAGTGCAGGCCCTAACCTTAGGGCTTCCTCTGAGAAAAGGAGCATCAAATATCTGCCTCCTGCTAGATGCAGGGGAGCAAAGGCAGATGAAGGAGAGTCATCCTCATGTGAGGGGACCCAAGGGCTGGATACAGGGAAGGAAGGCTGTGGGGAGTGCGGGTATCAGGAGGCCTGTGCCAGGAGGGACAGGAGGGCACATGAGGGCCCGAACAGCTCACTTCCTGGGTTCCCACCCCAACTGGACCCTTCCCACAGAGTAAGAGCCCATGACAGCCAAGAACCTGACCCCACCGTATGAAGACCACCCTCTAGGATCTGTCCCAGTGGCCTAGCCCAGTCCTCTGGCCCTCCCCAAGGGCACACTGAAAGTGGGGTACCCCTCTCTCAATAGGGGTTGCAGGCTGGGTACTGACAGGAGAAGGGGAGGTAGGGGAGAAAAGAGGCTCCAGGCAGGGCAGGGATGAAGGGCGAGGGGAGAGCCCAAAGCCCTCCCGTGTGGCCCTTCTGACCCCTGGCCTCGGGCACCCAGAGACCCCTCATTCCTGTAGGGTGAGGGTGGGAGGCTCCTGGTGCCACCTCATGTCGCCTGGTCTGTTCCCAGCTCCGGGGCTTCTCCCACGCTCCCCTGGAGCTCCCAGCCTGTGGCCTATGTTCGCACTACGTGAGCCCACTTCCTCTGGGAGGGGGCCGGGCAAGCCCCTTGGCTGGGGAGGTGGAGCAACTACAGGGATAATAGCTTCCCCACAGGGTCCCCAGGCCAGCCACCACCGATTCTCCCTGGGATGGAGTCACAGAGCTGGAACGGCCATTCCTTGTGTGGATGGGGAAACTGAGGCCCAAGAGAGCCAGGGAGTCACTAGGTAAGCCCAATGGCTTCCCATGCAAGTCCATGCTTCCTCAAGGCACTTCTCTTTTCTCCTGCCCTTCTCCAAACCAGCGGCCCCTCTTTGCCCACTCCAAACTGACCCCGACCTAAACGACCACAGTTAACTCCAGGGCTGCCCCAGCCACCTCCTGGACCTTGGGGGCAGCCTGGTCCGAGGGTGGAGCAGAAGCTTCCCCCATTTCCCGTCCCCGTGGGAACCCCAGTCTGCACAGTGGGTGCGCTCACCAAGCCCCCATCCTGACAGCAGGCTCTCTCCCCTCCCCATTTCCTGGGCCAGAATGGCCCCCAACTGTCACCCTAACCCTAACCCTGACCCTAACCCTGACCAGGCTCGGGCAAGCTCAACTTCCTAACCCAGGTGACAGCCTGCAAAGCAGCTTTGGGCTGTGTCCTGCGCTGGCAGATTGCCACTGTGGGGAAGTCACCCTCGTGTTTAATCACAGCCACGAACCACACCCCATGGCAGAGGACTGTGGCTCCAGCCCCTTTTCACACCCTTCTCAGCTTCCCTGGAACTTCAGAAATGGCTCTCTCTCTCTCCTCTGCCCTCTGTCTCCTCGCCTCTTTCTCTCCCTCTCCTTTCTCTCCCCACTTTCCTCTCCTCTCTCTCACTTCTCTTCCCTCCCTCCCCTCTCTTCCCCTCTTCTTTCTCTCTCCCTCTCACCCCCTGTGTCGTTTCCCTTACTGTCAGCTCATTCCCCTACTCCATCCCCCATGCTAGGATGCTTAGAACACTCCTGGATTCCTCCCTGGTCTGCCTGGTTCCTGGAGACAGAGCCCCACTCCCGGTAACTAAAATTCGGACAGAAGAGTCTTGGCTCAGGCCTCTGGGCCACCTCCTCAGCCGCTTGACAGAGCCCAATTCCAGGACAGGTCATCCTTGCCTACCCAGGAGGCCCAGATCCTCTTCTCTGGAGGCTCAGGGGCTGTGCCCGAGCCCACTCGCCCTTGCCTCCCTCTCCACAGTCCTCTGTCCCCTTCCCATCCTGCTCAGCACTCTGTCCCTCTAGGATCCCTAAAGCAGAGCTTGAGCGGACAGGCAGGACCCCTGCCCCTGCCTGCTGCTCCCCGGCCTCTCCCCTGCCCACCTCTGCCCACTGTATCCCTTCAGAAGGGCTCTTCCTCTCATGGGCCCCCAGGGCACAGCAGCCAGTCCTGAGTCCCTTTATGTCCACGCTGGACCCCAGCCCTGTACGGAGTGCTCCAAGCCTTGGCTGGGGTCAATGAGAACACCTCAGGGCACCCTCAAGGAGGCAAGTCTTGCTGGGGGACTGTCCCCAAACACAGCAGCTCTGAGGAGGGGGGACCTCTGGACAGGAAGTCCTGGCCAGGATGGCTCAGCTCTTTCCTCAGCGGGGAGGGAAGGTCAGGCAGCCTCTGCACTGTCCTCAACACAGCCCTTGCCTGCCTGCCTGCCACTCTGGATGCTCCGCGAGGGCCATGAAACCACCTTTCTGAAGAGAATGTGCCAAACTCCTGCTCACCCTCCACAGCTCCTGCCCAGAGACCACCCTGCCCTTCACTCCGTGCCGTGGACATCCTTGACCCTCCCTGCTTTGCACTGGCACTTGCCCAGTGTTCCCTGAGGATAGAGATCCCTGCTCCCCTCCCTGGCAGCACGCTCCCAGAATGAACCCTCTGCACTCCCCCACCCCCACCCTCAGGGCCAGGATCCTGCTGCTGCCTGTCTGGCGTTGTCCCTGCCAGGAGACGGGGCTATGGAGGAGGCTATTTTTAGCATCTGCTATCCCCCGTAATTATCTTGTCTCTGCTTTGCCCTGGCACCTGCTACAGTCCCACTGGAAAATGTCAGTCCACCTCCCCATGCTCATGGCCATTGGGAATCTAGGGGGTCAGTGTCTCAAGGTGAGGGGTGGTGATTGCAGTCAAGAGCCTCCTTCATTCACACCCCACCTTTCCAGGGCCACTCTGTCTCTTCTGGAGATGTTGGCTCACCCCAAAAAGGCCAGGACAGCCTCAAAGGAGGTTTGGATGCTGCCCAGCGTAATAGGGAGAGGAGAGTGGCGGGGGCTTTCAGAAAGCAGCTCCTCTTGTGACTCCACAGCCCTCAAAATAGGGCCTGGCCTCAGTGAGCAGACTCTCTGGTCCTGGGATGAAGCAGGAGACTTGCGGTTCACTCAGACGCATTATTCCCTGGATCCTGTCCTTGGTAAGAAGGTGCCCTGTGTACTCTGGTTGCTCCTTGAAGCTGTGAAGCGACATGACTGGGGCTC